TTTCGTGTTTACTGGAAAGGAGGAGCCCGAGGTTTATCTTGAGTGGGAGCGCCAAATGGAGCCCAATTTCGAATGTTATTCCTTGACGAACCGAAGGAAGATTCAATATGCGGCTGCCCATCTTGCCGAAGATGCCATCATGTGGTGGGAACGAGAAGAACGAAATCGACGACGTGCACATTATGATCCGGTTTCCACTTGGAAAGAGATGAAAATCTTCATGCGAAAAAGGTATGTACCTCGACGTTGTCTTCGTGACATGCAATATAGATTTGATAACATCATGCAGGGAGACATAACGGTTGAGGAATACTACGGAGAATTTGAGCAGCTCATTGCGTACTTAAGAATTGACGACGATGAAGAACTCATGATGCATTTCCTAGGAGGCTTACAAAAACGAATCGCTAGAAAGGTAAAACAACAAGTGTACCGTGACTTGGGACATCTTGTGCATGCGGCGATTCAAATAGAGCGACAAATGAACAAGAAGCCGTCAAAGAATGGGTGCCAACGAATGCCAACGCCAACGCCTATACGCGAAAACTTTTCCAATACCGGAGACCCAATCAAGGCGCAAAATCTTGATGCTCGAAAGGACGAAACTATCTCATATAAAAGAGAAGTCCACATACGAGGTAACAAAACTTCTTCCTCGTGTACTTATTTTACTTCTGAGGTTCCGTGTTCAGAGTGTAGGAACCAAAGTCATTTGCCCAGTGGAAGTTCCATCCGACAAGAGGTGAGCATCAAGGATAACGGGGCATATAACTCAATCGCGATGGCTGTGGAGAGACACCTTGAGGAAGATTTCGAAGCTCCATCCGACAAGGAGAACAAGAGCGTGACCGAAAAGAAAGAAACGGTCGAGAACCCTGGCTTTGTGAGGGAAACAAAACCCAAAAGTTTGGCAAATGTGAATGAAGAGCGGCAAAATGCCAAGGATGAATGCATACGAGCACAAACACCTACACGCAACAACCTTGTCAAAATCAAAGACCAAGGCAAGGCGACCGATCTTGATGCCCGAGAGGAGGAAACCATCGTGATTCTAAAAGGAGTCACCTCATTAGGTAACGAAACGTTTTCCTCATGTACTAATCAAACTCGTGAGGGCATGTATCACATGTGTAGGAACCAATGTCATGTGGCATGTCATTGTCCCAACCAACGAAAGAATCTCATCAAGGATGGCGGGACATACAAGGCTGATGTAAGGAACCTTGAAGATGAATCCGATGTTACATCCAAAGCGGTAACCGAACATGTAACCAAAGAAAAAGAAACGATTAAGGATTCCGATCTCGTGCTCAATGAAGTACTCAAAAGTGTGATCAATGTCGATGAAGAGCTACATGGCATCAGAATAGATGCTTTAGAAGTGGTTACACGAAATGAGGATTTAAAAATCCTGATCAATTCATCGACAAAGATAAATGACACCTCCAACAACCGTACTTGGATCATAAGTCAAGAACTTGGAGCAAAAACCGGTAAATTTATTCCTATTTTTATTCTTGTTTATGATTCATACTTGGTTGAGAATATATGGGAACATGAAGAAATAATGGCAAAGTTTCAAAAGGAATATTCTTGCGAGCATTTCAAGGAGCACACTAACAAAATTGTTTCCCTAGAAGTTTATCGAAGTTCGCAGGTTCTGAATGTGAAGGAAGTGGGGATTGTTACAAAGAAAGTTTTGACATCTACCGGCCAAATCCCAAAGAGGCCATTCAACGACTTAAGCGAATATATGCAGCTTGCCCACCTTGATACGAAAAGCTTACGCGGTAACATCGTTTTACTCTTTATTCTTGTCTATGATCAAGGAATTGGTACCACATTGCAGATTTCGTGCATGGACGACGAGAAGAGTCCGACGAATCCCACATGTGTGCCTCCACGGTTCATCAGTGCTCAAGGAGCCAAATGCGTCTACCATTGCACCATGAACGCCTCAAGGCATAACACCATCTTAAACCCAAGGACAATCAAGAAGGATGAACCTTTTGAACGAGGAGAAGCGCGAGAACAAAATCTTCATACACTTGGCGAATATCTCGACAAAACCCGCAATCAAGGTATGAAAAATTTGACTTACGTATTTAACGATGCTGACTTGGACCCGTTTGATGTAGGTAAGCATGTTTTGAGGACAAAACCTTCTCAAGGGGGAGGGAATGATGAGGACATCGGAGCTAGCAACTTGGACGAGGACGGGAGCTTAACGGAAGGAGCTCTAGAAGATGTTCAAGACTTGACCCATCAGGCGTCAAGACTCTTGCCGGATGATCATAACGTCACAAGATCATTCGAAGCCGCGGGAACGAGATTTGACGTGCACAACGCGAAGGCTCCCCGAGCAAGCCATAGACCCATCGGACCAGCCAAGACTCAACTCCTCTCCATCTCAAACCTTAATTTCGGCCAAGAATAGTCAAGACACAAAAGGGAAGCTTCTTGGAGTGCAAGCAACTTTTCCAACAGCTATATTCTTCCCACCTACCTTATTAAATGCATAGGCTCCCACCCCTCTTGCATGTTTAGCATTTAATCACAAAAGAGTTGTTGAAGTTTCTACTATTTATATGTGTTTTTCATATGTAAAACTCAGATTTGGATATTGGAAAGAAGTATTTTCGAGTTGAGTTTTACTCCTCTTGTTGGTGTGTCCGACATTGTCTCGGTTTGTCCGAGAAATCCCGTCTTGGTTTGTCCGAGGCTTGTCTTGGTTTGTCCGAGACCCTATCCTTCGTTCTCCATCCATCTCTTGACTACGATTCGAATTCGAGAGCCTCTACGAGTGCCGGTGATTGGATCAAAGTCCCGCAGCCCTATCCTTTTCGGTCCCTCTCCAACCGTCGTTCGAATTCGAGTGCCTCCACGAGAGTGCCGGTGATCGTTCACGGATTCTCCATCTCCTTCGTGCGTACATCAAACCGTCACATGAGATTGTATGAGATTCAATGACGCTAGTCCATGTTATAATCTCACGTGGGTCAATCCAGTATTCCGTTCTCCAACGAATATCTATGATTGTGATCGTATCCAATACCCATGATCATCTCTATGATCATCTATCACATTTCATACTAGTCTTAGTACATCATTGTTCCCACAATGATATCTGACTAGGGAATTTAGTATTGTTCATAACAATACATGGATTTCATAACATATTAAAGTATGCACAATACGTAATGAATCAAACACTCATCCATAAAACCATAGAAAGTGTCAATACATCACATGTGTCATAAAAAAACTCATATTACAGTACATCATAGAGCACTAAACCAATAATCTCCCACTTGCTCTACTCATGGACTACTAAAGATCTAATGCCATATCCCTAACATGACCCTCAAACTTCGACGAAGGGAGAGGCTTTGTCAACGGATCGACAATGTTGTCATCTGTTGACACTCTGCAAATGTGCACGGCTCCTCTGTCTATGATCTCCCTGATAAGGTGAAATCGTCTGAGTATGTGTTTGGATCATTGATTGGACCTAGGTTCTTTTTCTTGTGCGATTGCACCATTGTTGTCACAATACAGATCAACAGGGCTATCAGCACTAGGAATGACACCCAAGTCGCCAACGAACTTTCTGATCCAAACAGCTTCCTTTGCTGCGTCCGACGCTGCAATATACTCAGCTTCTGTAGTAGAATCTGCAACGGTCACTTGCTTAGAACTCTTCCAGCTTACAGCATCTCCATTCAAGCTGAAAACATAGCCAGACTACGATCTGTAGTCATCCGGGTCTGACAGGAAACTAGCATCGATGTAACCCCTTACATCAAGCTCGTCTTCCGACCCACCGTATACCAAGAATACATCCTTAGTCATTCTCAAGTACTTCAGGATGTTCTTGACGGCGATCCGTGTGACTCACCTAGATCTGACTAGTATCTACTCGTAATGCTCAACGCATAAGATACATCCGATCGAGTACAAAGCATGACATACATGATGGATCCAATCGCCGAACCATATGGAATCCTATCCATGCGTTCTCGCTCATCAGATGTCGTAGGACACTAACTCTTTTGCAGAGAACTGTGCCACTGCTCATCGGTAAGGTTTCTTTTTTGGAATCTTGCATCTTGAACCGTTTCAAGACCTTATCGATGTAGGTACTCTGACTCAATCCTAGAAGCCGCCTCGATCTATTTCTATAGATCTTTATGCCTAAAATATAGGCCGCTTCACCTAGGTATTTCATAGAAAACTACGTTCCTAGCCAAGAATTTACGTCTTGCAAGGTAGGAACGTCATTCCCTATTAGGAGAATGTCATCCACGTACAGCACTAGAAATACTACTGTTCTCCCACTGACCTTCTTGTAAACGCATGGCTTGTCTTCGTTCTGTGAGAAATCAAACCTTTTGATTGTCTCATCAAAGCGAAGGTTCCACCTTCTCGAAGCCTACTTCAGTCCATAAATGGACCTCTGAAGCTTGCACACCTTCCTCGGGTTCCTTGGATCGACAAAACCTTCGGATTGTGTCATGTACACATCATTGATCAAGTTTCCGTTAAGGAACGCAGTCTTGATATCCATTTGTCATATCTTATAGTCATAATATACGGCTATGGCAAGCAGGATCCTGATGGACTTCAGCATGACTACAGGCGAAAAGGTCTCATCATAGTCAATACCATGAATTTGACGGAATCCTTTCGCCACAAGTCGTGCCTTAGAAGTGTACATATTGCCATCCATGTCGGTCTTCTTCTTGAAGATCCACTTGCATCTGATGGGTTTGATGAGACATAAGTCTTAAACACTTGAAATGTTCAAGGCTTTCATAAACGAAGTACAGAACCAGCTTGACAAGATGATAAGGACACTTCGATCTGATCATGGTGGTGAGTATATGAGCCAAGAGTTCTCTGGCTATCTGGTTGATTGTGGTATTGTATCACAATTAACTCCTCCTGGAATGCCACAATGGAATGGCATGTAAGAACAGAGGAACCGAACACTGTTAGACATGGTTCGATTAATGATGAGTCAGACAGATCTTCCGAAGTCGTTTTGGGGCTATGCTTTAGAGACCGTTGCGTACCTGTTGAACAGGAGTCCAACGAAACCGGCTGAAACGACGCCATATGAGATATGGACGGGGAAGCGTCCCGCGTTGTCGTTTGTCAGAATTTGGGGTTGCGATGCTTACGTGAAGCGTTAGATGTCTGATAAGTTATCCTCCAAATCTGATAAGTGTTTATTTGTAGGCTATCCTAAGGAAACTAAGGGTTACTACTTCTACATTCCGGCAGAGAACAAGGTGTTCATTGCCAGGAATGCGACTTTTATGGAGCGAGAATTCGTCTCCAAAAGAGTCAGTGGGAGTAGGTTCGAGAGCAACAAGTAGACGCTGAGCCGAGTGAACAAGTTGAAGACGTTCAACCTGTATCGCTGTCGGTTGAGATAGCCTTCGATTGGTGAACCTCGGAGGTCAGGCAAGTTTCGCCAAGAGCCTGTGAGATATAGATTTCTCGTGAATGGGAATGAGGAGCTCATGTTATTAGAATATGATGAGCCTTCCACATACCTAGAGGCTATGAAGAGTCCCGAATCCGAGAACTGGCGCGGGGCTATGAAGTCCGAGATGCAATCCAAATATGGACTCTGATTGATGCATATGAAGGGATAAAACCCATCAGATGCAAGTGGATCTTCAAGAAGAAAACGAACATTGATGGTGATAACTCCTATTTTTCTCTATATTTTCAGGATGTTTTTATAGGATTTATACAAGGATCACATATATTTGTAGGCATTATAGGCGTGTTAGACCACAAAACTCAGTTTGGTTATGTTTTTATAGGACTACAGGTCTCGGATGCGATTTAGACCAAGGCGGGAGCAATCTGGATCTAAAAGGATGAAACACGTCAAGAACTTCCCGCCTTGACACGACCTAGTCAATCATGGAAAATGGGCCGAGTCAACATGCTGAAAATTGCCCAATTCAAGCCTGTTACGAAGAGACCGAGTCAGAACGTCCGAGTCAGAATGCCCGAGTCAACATGTTCGAGTCAGAATGCCCAAGTCAGAAAACTGGGTTGGGCCGAAACTGTTTAGATCCCGTTTTGACTCGGTCGAGTTAGAGTTTTGACTCGGTCCGAGTCAAAACCCAGAAAAACCCCAGATTCGAATTTTCAGACTTTGAAGGGGAATAGGACTTCGGGAGTACCGCCGAGGGTTTATGAAAAGAAGCCTACAGACGTCCAAGAGGAACAGACAGACTTTGGAGAGCTTAGGTGAGAGAAGTAGGAGTATACGGGATTTCGGGAAGAAGAAGGAGAGCTAGAACGTGAAGATCGCTTTGCTGTCGACATGAGCCTTTCTTCTCCCTCTTTTGTTTCTGTTTCCGGTTTTATTTTGTGTTTTTCCATGAACCGTGAGTAGATCCACGGCTGTGGGTTAGAGATTCGTTTGTGTTTTGGATATGTTTGAACCCTAACTTGGTTGCGATTTGGGGTTGTTTCGGTTTTATCGATTTGCACTTCATGTCAATTGATGTTTGCTGACCCCTTGATCAGTTGTTTTAGATTTTGAACTACATAGGAATATGGGTTTAGTTTCGGATCAAAATCGATAGAATAGATCGTATTATTCACAT